GTGGGAGCGGGCGGGGCGGCGGCTCGGGCGGCGGCGGGGCCGTCCCGTGCTCAGGCAGCGCCGCGGGCAGCCCGGGCCGGGACCGAGGCCCCCCCGTTGCCAGGGCCCGGCCGCGTGGCGCTCGGCCCCGAGGGGGCGGGGCTTGGGCTGACCCCGCCCATGGGACCGCCCCCGGTCACGCCCCCAAGCCCCGTACCGGCGGTGCCGGGGGAGCCCCGTCCGTCCGTCCGTCCTGCCGTACCCCTGTCTGAGCCCCGTCCGTCCGTCCCGCCGTGACCCCGGGGCTGGGGGAGCCCCGTCCGTCCTGCCGTACCCCCAGTCTGAGCCCCGTCCGTCCCGCCGTGACCCCGGGGCTGGGCGAGCCCCGTCCGTCCCGCCGTACCCCCAGTCTGAGCCCCGGTCCCGGTGTGTCCTGCCGTGTCCCCGGTGCCAGCCCGGGCTCCTCTGCGCCCTGTCCCAGGTCCCAGCTCTGGTCCCGGTCCGGTTCCTCTGTGCCCTGTCCCAGCCCCAGCCCCGGCACCACCGTGTCCTCGGTCCTGGTCTGAGCCCGAGTCCTTCCTGCCGTGCCCCGGTGCCCCGGTGCCAGCTCCGGTGCCAGCCCCGGCTCCCCCGCCCCGTGCGGCCGGTGCCGATCCCCGGAGCCAAGGAGGACTCAGGGCGCGGGTGTCCGAGGTGCTTTATGAGGGCGCCCGGGCCGGCGGGCGAGGGATGGGGGGGCGGGCAGGGATTCCCGGTACCGGCAGGGAAAGGGGGTCCCGGGGCGCCGGGCCCCGGGGGAGGCCCGGGGGGGTCGGGCAGGGTCGGGGACAGCCCCGACCCCGCTGCTGGTTCCAGTTCCACACGTGTTTATCCACCTGCAGGGGCTCCGGTCACAGGGCGAGCACGGAGGGGAACACGGCCCCATCTGCGGGGACAGAGGGGGTCAGGGGGCGCGGGGAGGGGGCGCGGGGAGGGGGCGCGGGGAGGGGGAATAGGGGGGCCCTTACGCTTGGGGCTGCTCTGGCTGTCGGGCTCGGGCACCTTCCAGTCCAGCTTTCGGCCCTTCTCGTAGAGCCCCTTGAGCACCTTCCGGAACTCCTCGGGCTCGGAGCCCTGCGGGCTCAGCTCCAGGTACTTGCGGTAGAGCCGCAGCGCCGTCTGTGCGTCCTCGATGCTGTCGTGGGTTTCTCCCTGGATCTTCAGGTCTGGGGGGAGACCCCTCAGTCAGGGAGAGGCCTGGTGGGGACCCCCGGGGGGGGCTTTATGCCCCTGCTCCCGCCCCTCCCGGATCCAGGAGTTTGGCCACTGACCCAGGAAGTACCAGGCGAGGAAGCGCAGGGAGATCATCCTCTTCCTCGGGATGTGGAACAGGTACACGGTGTCGATCACCTGGTCCTTGGGCACCTGCAGAGCAGAGAGGGTCCTGCTGCCAGGGCAGGGGGGCTGCCGCGGAGGGGAGGGTGTGGAGGGGAGGGTCTTGCACGGCTCCTGCCCGGACCCGGGGGAGGGAGGGGGCTCAGTGCTGTCACCATCAGGTTGATGACACGGAAGTCCTTCTGCAGCCCGTGGCCCACGAACTTGACGCCCACGTCGATGAGGAAACGCAGCTTCAGGTAAGTGGATTTGAGGGTGGTCAAGTGCTTGGAGGAGATCTTGGCATCCAGGTCTCCCGGCTTGATCCCGGAGTACTGGGTCAGGTAATCCACCACCTGCAGAGAGCAGGGCCCGTGGGGGTGGGCTGGGAGGGCTGAGGGGCTCAACCCCCTCCCCAATTCCCCTGCCAGCAGCCTGGGCAGGGGGCTGTCACTGCAGGTGCCCCTCCACGGAGAGGGACAACAGAGCACCCAGGTGTCCAGGTGAGGTCACCACAGGGGACACAGGTGTCCATGGGGAGCACCCAGGTGTCTGTCTGTCACAGGTGTCCGGCTGAGGTGACCTGTCACCAGTACAGTGGGTGCCTGTCCTCCCTGGGGAGCCGCGTGAGGCCAGGTGGGTGCCCCGTACCTGCTCCTGGGTGGAGATGTAGTCGTCGATGAAGGGGACCCCCTCGTTGGGGCCCTGCCCGCGCACGCAGGTGATCCGGGCCACCGACATCTGGCTGGGCTTGATGGTGGATTTGGTGCCGTCGCTGCGCAGCTCGGCCTCCTCCTGAGACAGGGGGACAGGGGAGGTGGTGACCCACCCTCCCCAGCCCCAGAATCACAGAATATCCAGAACGGGCTGCCCTCGTGCCCCGGCCCC